ACACACACTGAAAACCAATATAAAGAATTGTTTTGCATTTTGGTCTGAGGATTTCATAGAGAAACTACTAGAGAGGGATGCCTGGGCCTTAAGTCCTGAACAGCATCAGAGGGAGCCTGAGACTCAGGACCCAGAGCAACATCAGAGGTAGGCTGAAATTACCAACCTGGAAAGAGCATCGGGGAGTAACAAACCACCAGCCTGGAAGCAATCTGAGAGAAGGACCAAATCTTCAGGCCTGGAGCAGCATCAGTGGGAGACCCTAACCCCAGCCTGGAAGCAGCAACAAAAGGAGGCTTGAACCTCAGTCCCAAGAGAAGTGTCAGTGGGAGGCCTGGGCCTCAGGCCCAAGGAGCAGGGAGCAACAACTAGGTGAGACGAAAGCAGCCGCTTCCAGCACTGTCTTCCAGAAACTATCAGAAGAAGCTCCTATGGGAAAGAACACCTCTTTTCCAGCCAGCATCAACTGCCATTTCTCAGTTGGAGATAGGCCAACTCTAGAGTGACCACTGGACACTCAGCTACAACTATACCTAGAGGAGCAATCACCAGAGTCGTGGCCCCATATCCAATCAGATGGGCATCCAACACAGCTGTACCCTACCTCCATCCCAAGGAGCAACCACCTGAAACTTGGCCCTATTTCCACCAGAAATGGAGCATTCACCAGAGTCTCTGCTCTGCTTGCTGCTGAAGGAGCAATCAATGGAGCCACAACCCCCAATACAAATTGGAGAAAGAGAGACACCCTGAAGCACAAACTCCACCTATATTAATTAGAGGAAGAAATGGATAGACAACAAGGTAAGAACAGATTCAAAAAATATAAATAGCAATGTTCCTAGTGGTGCTACAACAGTAAGACCTGAACAACCCGATACAGACAAAGCACAGGAAAATGATCTAAAAAGTAACTTTATGAAACGATTGAGAAGAAATGAAAAAATTATTTAAAGAAATGGAGGAAAAGACAAACAAAAAATGGGAAGAAATCAAAAAATCCCTTAAAGAAAAAACAATCAAAC